CAGAGTGGCAAGCCAAAGAAGCAGGCAAGTATTTTCCTGTTGACCACAAAAGACACAAGGCAGCAGAAGTGGCTTCCAGTCACCTTGGTAGCCTGTGAAGTGTAGGTTACTTCAAGGACTGAAGTCATCCACCAGGACAAAGAAACTCTTCAGGGTTCTCTGATTCACAGCAGCAGCCTCCCAGGAGAATTGCCTGCAATGTGAGACAAAATACAAGAAAACAATTGAGGAAATGGTCAGTGACAAGGGGAAGAGGCAGATTGACCTGCTGGTTCTTATCTTAGTGGCTTGGTGCACCTGCACTAGCCTTGGATGAATCAGTATGATTAGGCCATTTCAGTCAGTCTCCCTAGAATTTGTCATACCCAAAGAAGCTCAGCATTGGCCTGTGCAGGACATGTTGGGAGGCAGGATGGAGAATAAGAGCCTGCATCACTATGTCTGCATCTCTGTTGGCAAACATCGCTCTTTCTTGTGCTCCAGAGGACGCAGACACCTTTCTTCCAGCACTGTTTCCTGTCATGGTGCTCTAACGAGATCATTGTGGCCTAGGGCTAAAACCTGAGCACTGCTTGATCTGGGGCTTGCTCCATGACAGATAAAATAGGGCTTGAGCTCCAGCCAAGTGATGTCAGTGGTGAGGGTGCAGCCTCCTCAGCCTGTTACAGCTTGTGACTGCCGGCAGCTCTGTGCAAGATGGGTAATCACACCTACAGACAGGTAAATAAGTAGGGTCATGCTGCCTGGACCCCACATACATGGGGGAATAGCTTGCCCAGGAGTTGCTTCCTGCTGAGAAGTGAATGAAAGACGCCTGACCAAACCTATCCCCTAAATCAGGCAGCCGCAGAAGTGTGGTGCTGTGTTGGCCAGGCTGTGGGAAGATGGCTATGTGCAAGCCCAGGCCTGTGTGGAGAGTGGCATGGGTGCTGCTGTGGTCTTACTGAGCAAGCTGTCCCAGCTGGTGGTGACAGGTACAGCCTAAAACCTTCATAAACCAGACCCTCTGCAGCAAGATCTGGGAAGGTGAAGGCATGTGAAGTAGAAGACTTGACTGGAGTTTTTGTCATATCCTTTGTCATCTCTTGGGTAACAAGTGATAGAGGATGAGAGGAAATGGCCTCACGTTGTTTCAGGAGAGGTTTAGATTGGATATTGGGAAAAATATCTTCACCAAAGGGGGTGTCAAGCACTGGAACAGGCTGCCCACTGAAGTGATGGAGTCACCACCCCTGGAGTTACCTAAAAGATGTGTAGATGTGGCATTTAGGGTCATGTTTTAATGGCACTTGGTGGTGCTGGGTTAACAGTTGGACTTGATGACTTTAAAGGTGTTTCCCAACCTAAATGATTCTACGATTCAGTGGTCTTCTAGTCCTTATTTCTCTACTTGTTCCCTGTGTTCATCTCCGTCCTGTCCTACTCTGCTTTCTCATGCCCCTTTGCAGACTAGCAGATTCTTCAGATACCAACGTGCCGTGTGTCATGAGCACAAAGTGCATGCAGTTCTGCAGTTCAGCTGACTGCTAACCAGGCTGAGTCAGTTCAACCCAAGAGACGGTTACTTAGGCTGGCTTCCCAAAAGCCTACTTTGTCTGCAGTTAGGAGTTGCAGGAAGCTGAGTGTGCCACATCTGCTGCAAGCGCTGCGCTTCAAGTAGGGAGAGTGTTCAGGAGTGTGATTATTAGCTGCAGATCTTCAGCTAATTGACACTGCCTTCCCTAGTAAGCAGTGCACAACAGGGTTTTAAAATAGAATGTAGCCATGAAATAATTGCAACATTAGGAGAGCGTTCTGTGGTGAAGGAATGATTAATTTCAGTTCTTTCTTCCTGGTTTTGCTCTCTTTGTTCCCTTATATCCACAGTAAATTACTTCAGTACGTGTTCTTATATTAGATAATTGTTCTAAACCCAGCACATCACTGGAAATCAAGCTTCATTCTTCCTCCGTCATATATTGCCCTTTATAGCATACCTGGCAGTTAGGTTAATGGCCTATGAAGCACAACAGAAACCAGACTATCCATCTGTACCTACCTCTTCCCTGAAGTACGGACAAGAAGAAAGTTGCCTATAGATAAATCCAGCACATATGATTTAGAAGAAGCAAGTGGAACATGAAAGTCCATAAATCTGCCTCTATCCCCACCCCCGTCCAGCAGAAGGTAGTTGCAGACAAGTTTGGTAGTGAACAAATTTGCTCCTGTAGGTTACTCACACCATAGCTCTCCTGGGCTGCTTCTGTTCGCAGCCGCCAGTGAAAGCCCCTTTCCAGCATCCAAGTTTGCATGAGGGCCTGGCAGGGGAATGTGCTCCTCCGCTTGCAGGCAGCGTCAGTAAATCACAGCATGACGGGCTCACCGCCCCGCCACTGAACTTTTAACTTGAAGCTCGAGCAGAGTGCTGAGCAGCTCCAGCTACATGACACGGAGCTGTGAAAGTAAATCACTTCTTTGGGAGCAAGGGGAAGTCCAGGATACTGTTCTGCAGACTTTGCCTACAGCTTCCTTGCAGTATAAACACAGAATATATACACCCGGGAAAGCAATTAGAGAGAGATGGACCTCCAGCACAGAACTCGCCCTTTCCCCATCCCAGAGGATGAAGAGGTTGCACACAAGAGCGCTCCTGATGCTCACAACTCTGCAGGGAATGAAGAGAAACCAGTGTCAAAATTGCAGCGTAGGCACAGTGAAATAAAACTCTACAAAGAGTTTTGTGACTTTTATGCAAGATTGTAAGTTCATTCTGTCCGGCTTCGCGGTGTAACTGCAGTGACATTGTTGGTGTACTGTACATATGTATTTTATTATCTGAGCTCTGGGCAGGCTGTGCAAGTCATTCTTGTAATGCAGCCTTTGCCACTGTTCTGCTTGATACGTTGCCAGTTGTAATCATCAACTAAAATCTGTGCTGTTGCTTTAAACTCCATCATTAATTGCATCAGAAGTTTTTATCGGCAGTTGAAACGGGGTTGGAATTTGTCACATAGTGTCTCTGACTTCAGGTCCTTTCCCTATTATTTTGGGTAAATGGCTAAATTGCTTCACTAATGCAGAAGCAACACATCACTGAAGCAGACATACATCACTGGTTTTACATACATGATGTGTTTCAAAGTGAAGTTCTTTTGCATACTGAGGAAAGCTTTATGTTTTCATTTATTTTTGAACTTTGTTTTATCTTTTTTGCTTGTATTATACTTTGTCTGGCAGCTCTTATCATCCCTAGTGCTCGAGGACTGTTGAAGTGATGATGAAAGATCCCGATTTCTGTTATGATTATTCTTCATTTAGATTGAGAAGGAGGATGGGTGAATTGACTGAGGTTTTTTACCATGGAAAGCATATATAATCTAAGGAGAATATTGGTGAGCTTTATAGTTAACCACAGCTTATATGTGTAATCACTAGTTTGTCCATAGGCTTGTCTGTTATGTGTGGGATACATACATTTGATCTCCTTGTGAAATTCTCCCCCTTGCTTCACCAAGGGGGCAGTGACTATTTGGATAGCAGTTACTTTTTTTCTCTTCTGCAAAGATCTCTAGAGAGAGGAGAGGGGGAGAAAAAAACAGCTAATAATAACTGGTCAGATGTGACCTTGCATAGGTCTCTTCTGTGAGACAGTGTAAGAAATAGATAAAGCACATTCCTTTTTCAGCCACGTGCTAGGCGTTTGCTTTCTCCCTTGGATGCTGTGCAAGGAATGAATTCAATTCCTGTAGAACCTGGTGGGAACTGAGAGTTCTTATCCCTTTGGGAGGCAAAGCTTGGCATCGTGCAGAGGACTGAGTGCTCTGCACTTACAGGCACAGCATGATAGCTGTATCAAAATGGCTGCATGCGTGCACATGGGTTTAAAATAATCTCGGTTGTTTAATAAGCTTCCAGATAGATGTTTGATTGCCAGCTGTTCCCAGATTGTAATGAAACTAGACCATTACCTGTATTTGCTCTCTGATGTCAAATAGTATTAGGGGAGAGAATTTATCCTGAAAGCATAGCTTTGAGAGTCTAGATATGAGTAAGAAAATGGTTGCAAAGGAAAAATGGGGTGAGCCTTTTTCTGGGCTTAATTACTGAAAAACAGCTGTACTCTCTTCCGCAGAAGTGGACACAGTCCTAATGAAGTAGCTAATTCCTCTCTGCTTTACAGTTACCACACTGTCACTGTATGGTCACATACATTTGAGAAGCAACTGAGGTTGCTATTAGAGCATTCTTTTGCATCCTTGGCATGGGTTTGCCACCTTGTGTTTGCCTCTGTTTGGGTCACAGTGGGGCAGCCAGAGAATTGCCACCCTCTGCCTTGGCCCTGGACCAACACGAGCACACTGTGGGCTGAGTTCCCTCAGATGAACCCTAGCAAACCAACCAAAAATCCCATCACTGCAAACTACATTTGTAAAATGACTTCAAGCTATGCAGAGCTTATATAGGGAATAATTGTCTACTTGCTCTGGTTCTCAGTAATATCCGCTGGGTTAGATACTGTACACTCTTTCACATTGCTTATTTTGAGCTTTCAAACCAATGTTGTTATATACATTGTAGGATTAGGAATTCTTTTGGAATTACCATTTATGTTTTCCTGTGTGATGCCAGTCCTCAATTATTGTGAATATTTGCCCTTGTTTTCTGTAATTCTAATTATTTTTTAATCGTACTTCTTTGAATTGCCTGCCATTTCTCATTCTAAAAAAAACCTGCAAATGCATCTGTAGTAATGACATTTCAGTTTGATTTTTTGAGTTAATTACAGTTACTAGAGTGTGTTGCAGGGGTTTTGTTTCTAAAGAGTTTGGGAGCAGGGGGAAATGTCAGTTGTATTTATGAGGGGATGCCACAAGTTATTAAGTCCATTGAAAAACTTCTGTGGAGTTGAGCAGCCTAGTGTTAGGCTGATGCAGTTGGCTTTGGGGAAAGAAAAGAGCCCCACAACTAATTGCTGCCTAATTGGGCTAATTTTCTTTCTGCTTCTTTTTTCTTTATGACAGCAACATGGCCAATGCTCTTGCAAACGCCATCTGTGAGCGCTGCCGGGGTGGCTTTGCCCCTGCAGAGAAAATTGTCAACAGCAACGGGGAGCTGTACCACGAGCAGTGTTTCGTCTGTGCCCAGTGCTTCCAACAGTTTCCTGAAGGGCTCTTCTATGAGGTAAGCAGGCAGAGTGCCCCTCTTGCCCACAGCCTTTGCCTTGTGCCTTCTTTCCATAGCAGAAGTAGCTATGGGCAGATCAATAGCTTAGAAGGTCCAGTGGCTAAAACTAGGCTCCAAAAGGATATGCTCAGAAGAGGGAGAAAAGAATCTCTGCGCTAATTTGGAAGGCTTCAGTGTATATAACCTTTTTTAAATGTATAGCCTAATCTGATCAGAGCTGAGAAAAAAAAACAAAAACCAGAAAAACGCTGGAGATTTCTTTGTCAGTGCTGCTTTTTTTCCCTAAAAGGTATGAATCTGATACATCATAGAATCGCAGAATGGTTCAGGTTGGAACAGACCTTAAAGCTCATCTAGTTCCAACCCCCTGCCATGGGCAGGGACACCTCCCACTAGACCAAGTTGCTCCAAGCCCCATCCAACCTGGCCTTGAACAGTGCCAGGGATGGTGCAGCCACAGCTTCTCTGGACAACCTGTGCCAGTGCCTCAAACCCTCAGAGGGAAGAATTTCTTCCAATGTCTAATCTAAACCTACCCTCTTTCAATTTAAAGCCATTCCCCCTTGTCCTGTCACTACATGCCCTTGTAAAAAATCCTTCTCCAGATTTCATACCAGAATTACAGAGAAAGCATACTTAGGGGAGGACACTCACATAGAGGGAAACCCCAGCATCCCACAGTCCATAGGAGATTTATCGCTGAGTTGAGTGAGACCAGCACGGCATGTGAAAAGGTGCACTTAGAGATGACTTGTAAGTCAGCATGCTGTGATCAGGGTGTGTGGAGAGCCCAAACCAAATGGGGACTCTGTAGGGTCAACTCTAGGTTTAACAAAGTAGAGCATTCAAAAGTAGCAGTTCTCACACGCTTTGAAGGGTTAAAACCCATTCTCACTCATATTTCTCAGCCCCAGGTAGATTGCCTTCAGCTCAGATGGGTATTTTGATATCAGTGTCATTTTCTTTTGCATTATCCTGTTGTGGGTATTCAGGATTTGGCTCATCTATCTCAAGGACAAAGTGGTTTCAGTGAAAGCTATAGACTAGTTCATAAAACCTGAAGTGTTTCATATAAGGAAGGGTAGATGATGTGAGACAGGGGATTACTGTCTGAGAGATAAGGTCCCACTCAAGTGGCTTGTAGTCCCATTTACAGTACATGGTTACAGGATTTATGTCATACTGTGATCTGAAAAGAAAGGTGAGTAGTGTGTTAAAAGCACAATGCTATGCCCTCACATGCAGTGTACCATCCTTGTGGCAAGAGCACAACAGTTTATCTTCCACAGCAGTATTTCTAATTTTACAGAGCCACATTACATGGCGAGGAAGAGAGGCTGAGGGAGGACTGTGGCTTGGAAAAGAGTGGCAAAGGAGATTCCTGGGGTTTTCTTTCTCTCACTGCTCTAGGATCAAAAGTCTTTTCACTGCTGTAGGGGTAGTGTTGCACACATTGTGGTAAAGGAGGCACTGGTGTTCTGTAAGACATCAAAAGGTGAGCTGCAAGGCAGGAGCAATTAAAACAAAACAAAACACCCCCTAGATACTTACATGTTGCATTACAATTGCTATATACTGAGCTGCTGCCTGCTTGCAGGCGTGGTAAAGAGTCCATCCCCGATCTGTAAGACCCGAGACAAATATAAAGTGATATGAATGTTCTAAAACTAAAGTATTTGTAATTGCGTCAATAAAATGTATTTTCTCTACATGAGTACTGTATTCATCCTTTTTCTGACTCAAAAAACCAGTGAGACATTCCAGGGACCTCTTTCAGAAAGTGGAATGGTCCTCTGTTAAAGACAAAAGTTTGAGAAGTCCTGCTGTAGGCAGCCTGTATATCCTAAGGAATGGACCAGGACTGCAATTTTCTTACTTTTCCACCTAGCCCAGGAACATTACAGCCTCCCTGTTGCTCATGCTTGGCCATACCTGAGACTCCTTGGCAGGGGCAAGTAACCTGATGGTGTTTAGATATAGTAGGCATTTTGCTTCCTACTGCTACCTTGCTACATATTCATAATGGTTTGAGCACTCTCCTACTGCAGAGTGATGCTCCCTGTTAAAGACAGTAAGCCAGAAATGAGTGTTGATAGATTGTCCTGGGAATGAAAATAGCCCCATGTACTAAACATGTTTTGATTAATGTTGCTAGAGCTTTTTTCAGGCTGGGTAGAGACTTTGTTCTTGATAAGTGTTACATAGAAAGTGGAAAGTTTCAGTTGAGATTAGACACTTTTTGCCACAGCTGGCGAGGTAATAATTGATGAGGATTAAATGAATATGTAAAGACTTGTGTGTGGCGTGAGCTTCACATCACCCTTCTGCTTCTAGCCCTTCTAGTCTGCCTCTAGCCCTTCTGGTGTCCAGCACAAGATCTTGCAGTTTTAATCCACATCGGCAAGTCTCTCTGCTGCTGTTGAAGAGAGGTACTTTTCTGGTCTGTTTAAGCACTCTGACAGTCTTCAGGTGGTGGCTTACAGTTCCTAACCCAGCCTTGCTCCCCCATCTGTACTGGCCTGTCCAGGGCATTTCAAGAGGGTGGACAGGTCAGTGCTGTCCATGCCGTCCCAGTCTTCATGATTTTGGGGCTGTTTCAGCTGGGAAGTCTTTGGCAGGGCCTTCTCCTCTGTCTCTGAACACTTTAGGGTATCCACATGTCTCATGCTGCCAGAAAGACTCACACTTAGCACTGGAGATGCCAGTGTGATGATTGCAGTAGGAACCCCAACTTGTTTCCTGGTGGTGCTGCTTAGGGAGGATGATCGACAAGGGCACAGCTTTCTCTTCTGTCATTCAGCACCTGGGTACTAGAAATGAGAACATACTGCGTTTGGGGGAGAGGGAGGGACGGCCCTAATCTGGTAGAGGATGGGCTTAGGTTGGCCAGTCCTCAGGAAATGGCTGATAGTGCTCTGAAGACTTGACATGATCTGTATCACTGTCAAGAACAAGTACTGGAGAAGATAGGCAGAAAGGGTATCTTCCTTAGGCTGGCATAATGTGCTCTTTGAGAAGATGGATGCATTTGGATTTGTGCCTAGGTAACATGTTTCTGAGTAGGTTCTCTGTGGGTAAATGCAGGCATTGCTGGTTGCCCGGCATGAATTTGTGTTTATTCTGCGTCTGGTTTGGCTAAGCTGGTGTTCCTTGGAAATGATATCCAGCTCTTACCAATAAGAAGTCACATATTCTTTGCCTGCCTATTGCAAGCCTTGCAGAGTTCCCCCAGTTAGTCATTAAGCTGCTTATCACATTGCTGTCACGTGCTGCTGTGATAAGCTTTCACGCTGTGGTTCCATGGGTGGAGGCTGAACTGGTCAGACCAATGTGGGTCTACTGCCACTGGGACATGTCTCTGGGCTGCCTGCAGGGATCAGCACAGCTCGCCTGGTCTGGCAACAGAGCTGAGCCGCTGCCAGGGACAAGCAGAGGCACATGGAGCAGTGCCCATGAGCAGCCTGGTGTTTGCACAGCAAAGCAGGAATTTTGCTGGTGTCCTCGTGAACCTGTGGTAGAAATGATAATACAGGTTGGTATCCAGCCAGTGCTGGAGTAAGGGAGTAAGCAAGAGCTGTGCGCCTTATGTTGCATGGGAACTGTGGGGTTAGGAGCTGCTGGGATACGTGTTCCAGTTTGCCCAGTATCATCAGTTCAGCATGCTTTCTTATGCACTCAACCTAAACAAAAATTAGCATAAGCACATGCCAGCAGAGTTTCTAAACTCTCCATGCTTTGCTGTCACATGTGAAGTGAATTCTGGTCTGCTTTTACTCCACTGCTTGGAAGCTGTTGATTCTGTAAAGCTGTTTTTCCAGTCTTACAACAGGTAGCAGTGCACAGTCCTATACTAATAGCAGAACAGCTGGGTAAATGGAGACTTTCAGTGGCAGTGTGCTCAGAGGGACAGGTTGGCCCCACTGTAATCAGTCAGTGGGCATTTCCTCCATCCAGTGTTACGCTCAAGTCCAAGATCGGCACTTTTCTACTAGAGACTGCCTGTGTTTTGCACTGGGGAGCATAGGCACCTCATCCTCAGACAGGAGAGATGAGTCTTACTCCTGGTCTAGCTATTCATTAAGAGACACCTGCTGGGTGCTTTCAGAACCAACTTGTTCTGCACAGTGCTGAGGTGGGGGAAATGGAAGGCTTTAGAGAGGTGCCTTCCACAATAGAAGTAGTACAGCAAAATCCTCATGGACCACCCACAAGAGCTATAACTGGGGAATCTATATCACCTATTACTGTTGTTACTATTATTGTTATTGCTGTTGTTAATAATAACAATAAAAAACGGAATGAAGATGGAGCGAGGAAGTGGCTGATCTCTTTTCCCAAGTAACAAGTGATAGCACAATAGGTTTGTTGTAGCTTAAAGGAACAACCTCAAGCTGTGCCAGGGGAGGTTTAGACTGGATATTAGGAAAAAATTCTTCACTGAAAGGGTAGTCAGGCATTGGAGCAGGCTGCCCAGGGAAGTGGTGGAATCACTCCAAAAACCGTGTAGATGTAGTGTTCAAAAACTGTGTAGATGAGGCCTTCAGCGACGTGGTTTAGTGGCGGATTTGGCAGTCCCGGGGTAGAGGTTGGACTTGATAATCTCAAAGGTCTTTTTCAGTCTAGCTGCTTCTGTACTTCCGTAACTTTTGTCTCCTAGATGAGAGGGAGTGCCTTTCAGTTTGGGTCTTTTTCTAAGATGTTTGTAATAACCTGTAGGAAGATTAAACGATGTTGCAGCTGCAGTGCTTGTCAGATTTGTTTCTATTCCAGCTGCACCTTGAGCATTTTCTTAAAATGGGCTTTACCAAAAAACTACATTAGAAAAAGCATCTTTATTCATGTCTTTCCACTAAGTTAGCTAAAAACATGGAGATCAGCTGGAGGCTATGTCACAGTGAAATGTCCAGTGCAGAGCCATTTAACTCATGGACCTCCAGCGTACAACAATCAAATGACCTTGCTGTTAAAGTATGTGCTGTCGGTCATCCACAAAAGGCAGCACAAATGAACTAAGGTTGAAAATATAAACAAGGCTGAACAGAAACCAATCTACCTGACACAAACCAGAGGGAAAGAAAACCTGTCTGGTCCGCCCAGATCAACATGTGGTGGCTCTGAAATCCAAGCAGACCTAAGCATCACCCATTGGACCACCTATTTACACAAAACAGGAAGCTTTTGGATTTTGTTTATGTTTATAAAGGATTTTACCTGGCAGGAAGCAAGCACAATTCAACAAACCAGTAATTCCTGTTACTGTTTGAGAAAATATTAGCCCTCTGTCTCTCAATTTTTTTATTTTTTATTTTAAAGCTCCAATTTAAAAAGTCATCTTTTTTAGGCTGTTACACTGGAAAAAAACCACCTGATAAATTGCTGGAAGAGACTTCTGAAACAGTCTGTATCAAACACATGTCTTTCTTTCTGTTCTTAGTATGTGCAATTCAGGTCAGGCAAAGGAATTAAATTTCTGATCTCAAGACTATTCATTATGTACTCATCCTGCTACTTGCATGAGTAATTACTATGCTTATATTGTATTTGATCCTTGGAATTTCATAATATTAAACAGGTTATATCTTGAAGCACATTGCTGTAGTTTCCCTCCATACACCAAAACTTTATATGTGGCTACTATTTTATGCTATTTGCTTTGTTTTCTCTTAGGCCCAGTAAAAAGAAAGGAGTGGGATTTCCTGCTGTCCCCCTTCTTCCACTGTTTTAAACTAAGACATTAAGATCCAAACATTTTATAGCATACCTAATACTGTGTATCTGATTTTGACATGCTACTTGGCATTTGTGTCTAGAAATGATGTGCCATGAAGGTATCTAAACATTTCCCTTGCATTCAGGACATACTTGCATGCATGTTTTTACATATTCTTTGGCTAAATTGCTAATGCAGTGTTGTAGAACTTTTTTTCTCCATATGTTTTTTTTTTTTCTATGCAGGCTTGAACTGCAACTGAACTTCTCTAAGCTGTGATAAAGTTAAGATCCAACTCCCTTAAGATTAGTTCCTTATATCATCTCACAGATGTAGTGAACTTTGTTCCTTAAAATTTGGACTTGATTTTAAGGGTCTTTTTCAACCTAAATGATTCTGTGATTCTATGAAATAAGCATCACAAAAAAAAAACTTATTTCCCTTCTTGTTTTGGCTGTGCTGCTCCACAAATTGCAAGGATTTCTGTCTCCGGGTGTTCTTCCTCTCCTCCTACTTACTTCCTCCAGTATGCTGGGTCATTCTTGCAGGAAATGTAGGGTGAGAAAGAGATCAAACGGGTTCAGGGAAAATGCTTCCCCTCCATGAGAGTTTTTTGTTAGCTAATTTCCTGCCCAGAATTTGCCCAGTTGCATCAGAGTCTCAGCAGTCTGTGAAAATTCAGATGTCTCTTGTGATGTAAATGGGTGACGGAAAATGCCTTATACTATGAGCAGCATTAGAGGAATGGTGTGCTATTAACACTACATGCATTGTAGTAGCTGAATTAAGGTGGGTGGATTTAATGCCTAACATATAGTCTGTTTTTGTGTCTGTTTTACTACCCAATTGCATCTGGAAACAAACTGGTGTGTTACATACAGCATTTGTGTTACAGGCAGGCTCTTCATTCCTCTAACACTCAGATTTTTTTTTCCATTTGCAGTTTGAAGGGAGGAAGTACTGTGAACATGATTTTCAGATGCTTTTTGCCCCCTGCTGCCATCAGTGTGGTGAGTTTTACATCAAGGTGAAACACTGTGCACTGATCACAAATGGGAGCTTCACTGGGGGAAGAGGTGCAACCCTTGTGTGTGTGTTCTCTGGAGATGGCCCTATGCAGCTGAGCATCTGAACTTCCAGAATGAACTAGACTTCAGACAGTTTGGGAAGCTGCTTTTCATAAAGGTCATCAAACAGTATAATGTAAAAAAACCCTCCAAACCCAAAAAAGTTTGCTTATTTGATTGAGTAGTTTAGCTGTTGATCCAGTGATCCAATGAACAGACTGTTCATGAACTTCTGATAATATGTATCTATACATCTGGATGTGATCATATTTGGCCCTTCTCATGCAGCTGAAACCCCACAACAAGTCTTTGTCATCTGCTTTGACTATTATAACCCACACATGCTGTTCAGCTCCCCATGGAAGCTTGGACAGCCTTCAACATCTACTGTTACAATCAAATGATGATCAGCTGGTCCACTGTTGTATTTACCCTTAAGGCTTCAGCATCTAATGTCCACCCTAAATATCACTGAGGGCTGCTTTTTATTTGCCACTGTTGATGTAAATGCTTGTGTGTTTGCTGCACTGTAATTACTTGCATGGGTATTTTTCCCTCCCTGTGTGTGACACATTGTTCTTGGGCAGGGCTGGGAAGTCAGTACTTGACTATGTTTCCACTGGTCTGGAAGCTCTTGTGTTTCTGTGGCACTTTGACAAGGCACTACTGCTTTCAGTTACCTCAGTGAGGACTTTTGCTGAGTGGAGGGAGGGGTTGACCACCAAAGGAGAGGGAAGCAGATGTTACAGACCTTTGAATTTAAAGCTGCAGATGTGAGCAAGCAGGAGAAGAAAGAGGAAGAAGTGGGTCAGTGATGATTTCTGAGGAGCTACATAACCTATCTCCAGAGTTTCTCTGGCCCAGCTGGCCCAGCTTCCACTACTTCTGCCCTGGCTCCTTGTAGCACCAGCTTCCTTAAAACATCATCAAGGCCCTGTGCAGAGCTGGGCTTTGCCACTGCTTGGATTTCATAAGCACAGCCAGAATCGACTGGGCTGTTGTCAGCAACGAGGCCTCAAGGATTCCTGACATTTATGGAGTCTGTGGGGTTTTGTTCTTGAAAAGCTATGACTTCATGGGAACGCCACAGAGCTGCATGCCTGATGTCATCTGTCTGCTGTGTCTGCGTCAGTTACCTGCCCGATCATTTCCCTTTGGCAGCTGTTGGGAGTTGTGTTCTCCAAAGCCAGGACTCAGCCTCCCACAGAACTGGGAAGCTGATCTCTCAATGCATTTTAGGCAGAGCCTTTGCACTGCTCAGGGGCCTTGGCTGTAATATCTGCATAGAGAATGACTGAATTGTGTGTGGTGGACATAGCTCCACTGCCTGTGTGGTACAGACACACTGCATGCAAAACCGTGGTTCTCATGCTAGTTTTTAATGCCTTGCAGGGCAGGATTCCTTGTGGTAGGTCAGAAGCTGTATGTGTTGGAATGACTGTTCTGCGGCTTTACTGCAGCTTTGCGTTTTGACTCCATGTGAGGTGTTTTGCAGGATGTCCATAGCCACCCAAGCTCAGTTGTATTGTACTTTGAGCATAGAACCCCTTCAAGGCTTGGTCCTAGTAGAGCAGAAACCAGTACTATGTACATGACAAGTTAAAGGTGTCATCTTCTTGAAGAAAAGAAGGAGGAAGATGATTAGGACACAAGAAAGACATATTATATAAAGAACTCCATATAGTTCTGAACAGCTTGAGAAGAGATGTAAAAACAGAAAAGGGACTGATACAGGACGGTTGCAGAGAGGAGACAGAGTGTGCATCTAGAAGGGCTTGTCTGTAAAGAACAGAAGGTCCTCCATCAGCACGACATTTTCTTCTGACCCGTAGCAAAAAAAAAACCCACACAAACCCAAATTCCAGAATTCAGAACCAGAACTGTGATACTGAAATCCTACCAGATTTGGGGGGGGGGAGGAAGAGGATGATGCTGTCATTCTAGCAGTTCTGTTGTGGGTTGACTTTAACTTTGTCTGGTGTGTTATTTTGCATCCTGGTGTTGTGTTTCTTACAGGTGAGTTCATTATTGGTCGTGTTATTAAAGCTATGAACAATAGCTGGCATCCGGAGTGCTTCTGCTGCGATATCTGCCAACAAGTATTGGCTGATATTGGATTTGTCAAGAATGCTGGCAGGTAGATCTTCACCCTTCCTTCTGTTAATTGATCATGAATAAAATTGACTAAGAGGGGCGACTGAGAGGTTTTGGTTCCTGAAGCTTTCCAGCTGAGATAGAAAAACTGAGGCATCTTTTGTGGGGAAAAGTCTAAGAGTGCATCACAAAACTAAGAACGGCAATTTTAGAATACACACTTTAAAAAATAGCACCAGATTTCTTGGCAAACACGGTGACGTTTTGGGGCCACTGTTATGCTTAATAAGAGAGAAAACATCCAGTTACAGAAGCACTGTCTTTATTTCTGTCACAGAAATGTTTACTTTCTTTTCCAACTTAGGTTTCCAGTTTTAGTCTTGTTTAGCACCTATTTATTAATAATTGCTTTAAATTCAGTGGGAACCTTCACAGACCAGGATATTTTTACCAGCTGCGATCAGAAGAATGTTTGACATGTGGATTTTCCAGCCATTGGCTTCATATGTGTAATAAGAGAATTTATAGCAAACTGTTTCAACACAGCTTAAACTCAAATGAGGCTTCCGTGGTCATAGAAGATAAAAAGATCGCCCTGCCTCTTCTGAACTTGGTTAGTCTAGCTAGGAAATCATTTTAAAGACTATTTTCCCTCCAAAAAGGACTGACTGAAAGGAGGTTCTGACAGAATTTTGGCTTATAGTTTGCATGGTAGTACCTGGTAGCAGTACTTAACCTCTCTTTTTACGCTGTTTCAGACATCTCTGCCGTCCTTGCCATAACAGGGAAAAAGCCAGAGGCCTGGGAAAGTATATTTGCCAGAAGTGTCATGCCATTATTGACGAACAGCCTCTCATATTCAAAAATGATCCTTATCACCCTGATCATTTCAACTGTGCAAACTGCGGGTAACTTGAGTTCTGCAAAGGGAAATGGGAAACTGCTGAGTTTACTTGCTTCATCAGTTTACGTCTTAAAGTGAAAACCTCTCCTGTGCAGTTGGCAAGAGGGGTGGGGTTTGGGTGCCTTGTAACTGGGTATGTGTTACTGCTTTTGGGATCGTGGGGTTGGACCTTGAGTTCAAACAATCTGTCAGGGAGCAGAGAAAGACTGGACTCTGCAGAACAGGGTGGTACCTTACAAAATACAAAGTATGGACACAGATAATGGTTTCTGCAGTAGCGAAATGACAGGTTGTTATTCTGCTGTGAGAAGAAGAAAAGTGTTCCTCTTTGGCTGCTTGAGTTACTATCTTGCCTATATTATTTCATTTTAGCTGAATGGCACACAAACTTTGTTCTGTCCTTTTAAAGCTTATCTTTTTCTTGGACGCTTTCTCCCGTCTCATTTTATCAGCTTCTGCAACTGCAGAAGCTGTGTGTTTCTACACTGCACTGATGCACAGACCGTGGAGCACTGTAGGATATAGCATGGATTATTAGTTTATTTCTTGTGCAAAGGGAGCTACTATTTCATTGCCATAGCAAAGACTGATTTGAATAACAACATATACAGTTGTGTCAGTGGCAACCAGCTGAGAGCATTAATGAGTATGGCCACGTTCTAACCATGCAAATTAGTAAAAAGTAGAGTATATGAGATTCTGCAGTTGGCAATGAATAAATGTAGTTAGCTCATTTGAATCCATAGGTTTTTTTCTCTGAAGTTTGATACAAGGAAAATGTACCTAGATGTAGAGGACTACATTTTACTTTCAGTTACAGCTACACAAATCTAAAATAAACCAGTGATAAGATTGCCAGAATATAAACCGAACATGTCTACAGCTTTCACACACACATTTGTGCCACATAACCAGAATGCAGAATGCCAGTAGCTCAATTGTGGTTTCCAGAGACTTAGTGCCTTAGTGCCTCTCACTTTGCAGCCTATTCTCAGTTTGTTGTGATCAGTCTTGAACTGTGTTGAACTGTCATATTTGATGCTGCTGGATTACTGTAGGACAAACACAGTTTCTAAAACAAATTTTAAAAGTTATTTTTTTCTTTTCAGAAACTCTCAGGAGTTGACATTGTTCAGTGCTGTTACTCATGTTCTCAATTCATGAACTTTTGAACAGGAAGGAACTTACTGCTGATGCTCGTGAATTGAAGGGAGAATTATACTGCTTACCCTGCCATGACAAAATGGGCGTCCCCATCTGTGGAGCATGTAGGAGACCAATTGAGGGCCGTGTGGTGAATGCTATGGGCAAACAATGGCATGTGGAGGTAAATACCAGATGATTGATATATTGTCTTTTACAAACATAAATGTTAACATACCTATCTGTGATTTTGCTGATGAATTTCAATGAAAGGATTAGCAAAGTATGCAGCAATGATCAGTAAATACCTTCTCCTAATCCTGTTTTCGGCCTTCTTGTGGCCAGTCTTCCATGGTGAGATAGGAGTTATTTCCTATGTTATGGAGAGGTTTGTCTGTGAAACTAAAATCGTTTATCAAAGGAAGCACTGTGAGGTCTTTACAAAAGAAAATTTCAGAATGTAAAGTAGTATGAGTGGAAATGCAGTAAAATTCTGAGTCAACCGCAGTATTACTTATCATCATAATGCCCTCATATCTTCCACAGTCACCTGCCATGTAAATATCTCTAAAGCACTTTATGTGAGAGTTCGTATTTCAGGCACGTGTACAAGATGTGTAGTTCTACATCTTCAATTGAAATCAGAAAGATAAACAGTTTATTCCTTTTGTTGTCTTCACAGGAGTGTAATAATGTTGCACATTATCTACAGTTTAATATCTCTTCATTCTGTTCATTGATAACATATGGAAATCCCTTTGCTTGATTTTTTTTCTTGTAACTTTTGGATTGAAATCTTGAAGACATTAAAAGGAACATTCTTTTAAGTGGTCTAAATGTAGAAAGGAGAAAGTTTTAATTCTCCTTTTCAAAATGGGACAGCTAGCTCAATAGACTTCAGTGATGTTCAGCATTGGGTTTGGTTGGTTTGCTTTCCAGAAAAAAAAATCATTACTTCCAAATAATAATAAAAAAATGGTGTGTAATTTTCTCTGTAGCATTTTGTTTGTGCAAAATGTGAAAAGCCATTCCTGGGTCATCGTCATTATGAGAGAAAAGGCTTGGCATATTGTGAAACCCACTACAACCAGGTAAGGTTGAATATTTTTTAAACTGGTGTTAATCAGTAAACTCATGGATTGATTTTATCAGGTAGAGATGGGAACCCATGGACAATCTGTCCTCTTACAGGCACCTGCAGGTGTAATGCCAATTAGCACATGTTATGTTACAGTTAATTTATATGGGTTTCTCTGTACATTGGTATTGAGAAAGAAAGTTGCAGGTATTTCACAATAGATAGCCAGGACAATCAGTATTGAGTTTTTCTTCAAGCTTACTGGTAGTTAAGTAGAGCTGTTACAAGCTTTTATATGTCTGGGAGATCATAGCAGGTAATGGTCTTTCCCAAGAAACCGAGGTATATTTGCCACTCGGTGGCTGTGGTTTAAGATAAGGCCCTAGTCACTAGTGGGGTTTTCCCTACAGCTGCTGCAGTAAGGGGACTGACTGACTGTTTTAACCCAGGTCATTCATTAGGTTGCTGAAGATTGCAAAGACTAAATTTGTTAGATGACACCACCTAGTGACCACTTGCATTTATGTAGGAGTTCTATAGCATAAAATTATATAATCACAGAATGGTCTGGGTTAGAACGGACCTTAAAGATCAGCTAGTTTCAACCTGCCATAGGCAGGGACACCTTCCACTAGGCCAGGTTGCTCCAAGCCCCATCCAACCTGGCCTTGAACACTGCCAGGGATGGGGCAGCCGTAGCTTCTCTGGGCAACCTGTGCCAGTGCCTCACTACCCTCACAGTGGAGAGCTTAATCATCTCTCTCCAGACTCCCTTGATTGTGTAGTCCTGCATCACGATGCATAGACCTTTCTCATTTGGAAGCTGTCAGCATTGTGTCATGTCCACCTCTTCATTTATATAAATACAAGAGTAAGGGTTATATTTGGGAGTTGTAAGGCACCTGCTAATTACAGATGGATTCTTAATTTGCCAGTGATGAAGGGCAGATGATTGAAAAGTTGCTGGCATACTTGTAGACAATAAATGCTGTGACATTAGTAGTAATAGTGTTGCAGCCATGATGGGGCAGTTGCATATCCCAGGCAAGTGCTGTATGTAGAGCGGATGTCTTTTACTAGGTTAACTTCTACAGTTAGAAGAAAAGACATGAAACTTTGGGCACTTCTTAACTGTTGTGGGCGAATGTTAAGCCCTGAAATAGAATAAATAATTTTGGGCCTAAATTTTCCTCTTTTTTTAATAAAAATAACATTTCCTTACAGTTTTTGCCAGAAACAGTAATGTGTTGTTCTAGTCATGCATTTAAGTCCAAATGTTAAACTGGCTGGTTATTAACTATGTGTATGTGACACCAACTGCTATATTTCAAATGTTCAGGATTAGAGAATGTTAAAACAAAATTGATTGGAGTTAAACAAATATTTTCATCTTTAATATTGTAAACACTTTTTGTGATGAGATGATGCAGAATGTACTTGTAAAACCAGACCAGACTTGCCAGCATTCTCTTTTATTTTACTGAAATATTGCATCCATCAGCTGAAGTATTTTGTTAGTTTCAGAAGTTCCCCTGATAAAATCATTACATAAAAATTTGTCACTTATTTTTCCTCTTCAGCTCTTTGGTGATGTTTGTTTCCACTGCAACCGTGTGATTGAAGGAGATGGTAAGCACTTTTCTGTTTCCTTAATGTTCCTTACTGATAGAATTCCTCTTTAAAAGTGGAAGTAAATGGAAAACAGCCCCCTGTTGCATCCTTGATTGTTCTTATTAAAATAATACCACCCATTCACTTGATCAGAGATGAGGCTAGCGCTGATTAGCCAGAGATCAAGTGGTAAGAAAACTTCAAGCATTTCATGACAGTAGAAGACCATTCAGTGTCTGAAGAGAACCATGGTCAACTGGAAACCCTTTAATGACATGCAAAGGCCAGGAATTCTGGGAGATGCACAAAAGTGGCTTCTTGCCTCATCAACTTCCAAAATAGGACACATGTAACGGTGATAATGACCACACAGGCATCTCCTTAAGCGAGTTTAGGAATCATGAACCAAATATGAAAAAGTATTTAGATATTGAAAACATGGGTGGGCACCCTAAGGGACTTTTTAAAAGTGCCTAGTTCCCATTGCATCAGTTTGGTTCTTAGAGTATCACAGGAACATGTGTTTTGAAATCAAGGCTGATGATAATGTCACAAACCCAGTAAAAATCATTCTTGGAAAGATATGTCCTGTAGAAGTGGCAGAACTGGAAGCAAGTGATTTAAGTTTTTTGCGGGTGGGGTTGTTGTTTGTTTGTTGTTTTTTGAGGGCAGGTGTGATTTTGTGGGGTTTCTGGGACAGCCAGGTATGATAAAACGCCAAAAGCAAATTATTCTACCGGAAATAATGCAACATTATGTGCCTATTTACCCCTGCCTGAAGTAAATACTATAATGTTAGCCTAAGCCAAAGCCATTAGCAAAGTAGGAGGAAACCTCCAGCATGTAAAAAGAGGCATAAACTAGTTTATAGTCATGTAACTATAGGGTGAGACCTACATTCCAGAGGTGTGCTTTCCCCACATTTTCTGAGCTGGACCTGCAGAACAACAATCCAAAACACTTTAGAGGAAACAGTGTCCTCTTCTTCAATAAAATCCTGCAAATATGAGTGAAACTGGAACTTGAGGTGAATGAATAAATCCAGTTTGTCCCATAACTACATCTCTGTATAATTCTAACCTTTCACCCTATTATCTGACACCCATGTTGTATGTTTTGGTCTCTGTGGAAATGAGCAGAATATAGTGTAATGCAGTAGTTTCTTGAATATCAGTGTATGTCTTCAATTACATTTCTTCTTTCATTTACGCACACAAATTTGACACTGCTGTCACAAATTATGAATATCCAGTATTATTCTCTCTCTGACGGGTGAAACAGACATTTGCAGCAGCAGTTTTTGAGTGTCTATGACTGTTGCTTGGGAGCAAAGACTTTCATCAAAGACTAGTACTATTTTGGCAAGCAGTGGAATAACTGCATCTGTGGATGTGTTTGCCGCATACTGCCGGAAAAAAGCTCTGCACGATAATACTCTGGTTCTGTTTGTTGTTGACAAAATATTGTATTTTATGAGACCATTGTCCTGCATCCTCTAACTTGGATTAAGAAGAGAAACACATTTTGGCAAGGAAAACTGAGAAGGTATATTGAAAAAGAGGGAGAACAGAAAATGTATTGAGATACAGAACAAAGAGAAATACTTACTTTCTCTCCAAAGCAAAGAATAAAAATATGTCCAAGTTTGTCTCGATCAAGTAATTTACTCCCTGAGTCCATAGATATTTTCACCTAGGTAGTGCTGATTTACCAACAGTGTTCTTGGGCTGTGCAAGTGCTGCTGTTGATGGCACTGCAGTCTGAACTGGACCTGAGAAATGAAACCAAATGAAAACTTAAACAGTTTTGCTGGATTGGTCTTCAGCTGAAAAAGTTTCCTGATGAAGTTGAAAACACAGCCTCATAGAACAGTTGCCTGAGGTCAGTATGCTATCAGATGAGGTGGAGGCAAGAAACCGGAGGCAGAAGGAGGTTAAACTGGTCTTGTCTCAGCTTTATCAGTGCTCACAGTCCTACTACACTACACTCCCATGTGCCTTTCTCATATTGCCATGTTATTCTGGTAATCCATAATACTTGATAAAAGAATCAGATGACTGTTCTTCATGCCTTATGAACATGTAAGCTTAAAATTCCTGTAAATTTTTTTTTGTTTGTTTTTGGTGTTTTTTTTTGTTAATGATTTCTCCTTTTTTTTCCCATCACCTAGTTGTGTCCGCTCTGAATAAGGCATGGTGTGTGAACTGTTTTGCTTGTTCAACTTGCAACACTAAGTTAACACTCAAGTAAGTCTACCAGTAAGAGTGATGCCTTCGAGTGATGTCTTCAAAACATACCAGTGTTTATCTTCAGGGTGTAGATGTTCCTATAGTGTAACTGTTACGGTATGAAAAAATATAAAAGCAGCATTGAGAAAACATGCGCATCTTTCTTCGTCTTGCTCCACTTACTAAATTACATCTCGTTCAGCTCTCTGTTCAGGTCTCCTTCACCTGGTGTTCTTAACTCTTCTCCCTTTCTGTCCTTTATTTTTTCTGTGTTTAACTCTAAAGGGATAAGTTTGTTGAAATTGATCTAAAACCTGTCTGCAAACACTGTTATGAGAAAATGCCAGATGAATTTAAGCGACGACTTGCCAAACGGGAACGTGAAGCAAAGGATAAAGAGAAGCAGAAAAAGAAAAAGCCAATCTGTTTGTAAACTTTTTTTCCTTCTCACCACCATCTCTGCTCCTTTCTTCTTTGGTCAGTGCTAAGGATGCTTTTATTTTGAGTTCTTGCATGAATTTATGGCATTCAAAACCAAAATATTTTTCACACTACTGTAACTTGAAATCCTAAGTTGTTATTCCATTATCTTATGTTTAGTCTGTTTAGCTCTTCAGTTAGTTTTTAAAGGCTTTTTAAATGCCACAGTTAATAAATATGGGCATTTGGGTAAAAACAGGGCAACTTATTCAACAGGGTATGTGTAATTACTGCTTACAGTGTATAACCTTATAAAAGTAACTTCATAGACGTGTATAAACTGCAGTTGTAATTTTTTGCCTGCGCACATTTAATAGTGTACTTTTAAAATGTATTTTTCGCTATCCCTGATGATAAAACTTTGCCTGTATTTTGCTTTGTCATTCTAGGAATAAATTTGTTGAGTTTGATATGAAGCCTGTCTGCAAAAAGTGTTATGAGAAGTTTCCTCTAGAGCTGAAGAAAAGACTGAAGAAACTAGCTGAAACTTTGGGAAGGAAGTAAAGACTTCATCTGCTCTCCTCCTCCTTTGTGAAAATCCTATGCATATTACTTGGGGGGAATGGGGCTGTTTTGAGGCTGCAGTAAGGCAACAAATGATGATGTATGCCTTCTATCTAATGAAATTGTCTTAAGAGTCTCTGTTCTCTACATGAGAACGTGTGCTTATTTGTTGATAAACATACTGTACTTCTGAACTAACTTAAATACCCACTCACCTGAAAGGTTTCTGACCCTGATAATGAACTGATACAAGTGGCCCATTCTGCACAGTCATCTTGGAATTTTACAGAGAGAATTTGCTTCTGAACACCTGTGAAAAGAAATTGTGCAAATGCGTCCAACTTTTGGGGCATGTGTTGTCGTTTATATTAATGAAAGTATTAACCTTCATATTAAGCATGCACACAAAATGTTCCCAAGTCAAGTGGCTTGGGCAAGAATCCAGTATACTTCTCCTTGTTGGAAAAAATGTGCTTAGATTTCAGGCCAAGTTGTCTCATTAAGGAGCCTTGTTTCTGATGGTTTGATCAGATTTCTAAATACAGTCACTCCACAAATGACCTACTTCTTTTAGATTATGCTTACATGATGAATCTTTGTACATCAGGCTTAGCATGAAATACGTATATAAAATATGTATTCCTATTGCAAGAAATGAGCATACTCGGAACTACTTGAATTTTGCTATAATCCACTCAAAATAACACATTAACTTTTATATATGCTTTTGCATTCTATTTACTTTTTGTGCCTTATTCTGCTGGACCATACATAACAGTATTCTATTAAATATATATATAGTTTTATTTTTTATTTCATATTTTTATGCAGAAATATATACAAGGTATTTTCAAAAGACAACATACTTTGCCTTAATTATGCAGGTTGTGAAGTATTTTATTTCAAATGTGAACACCTGAACTTAAAATTTAGCTTCTAGACTTCATTGATTTTCAGAACAGTACTGAAAGTGCGTATTTCAGTGAACTGGCAATATTACTTTTACACCTAAGAGTGTAAATATACAAGGTTTGATCCTGCTAGGATCTACTTCTATAGCCATCCTCAAGAACTGAGCTCACAAATCATCAGAATTCCTTATAACATACCTTGAATTGTTTTATACTATTGACTTCTGTCCATGCAAATCTGTTTCATTTTTCCCTTTCTTATAGAAAATACAGTTACTTAGGACTTCTTGATGGTACTACATTATGAAGTACGCATTTTATTGTATTTTTTTTAATTTTTTATATATTAGTGACTTAAACAGATTTTATGTAATTACATCATCGGAAGTAAAATTTTCTTTCCTGTTTATGAAAAATTAGTTGCTTTAAAACACCTGCTTTCCAGTGTCCTCAATAAAGGCTATGTTATGAAACCTTGTATAACCTCTCTTAAATGAGTGCTTGAGAAAGGTGGGAAAGCAACTAGGCTCTCTCGGTTCCCTATGCTTTTACCTGTGAATGTATGTAAATACTTCCTTATTATCCTGATTTAAAGGAGACATGCGCCTTTCCTAAATACCTCACAGGAGTTAGTTCTCAGGTTCATGAAAGAAACCACAGTTTGTTTTATGAAGAACAGCTTGATTCTTCTGGATGTTTTCTGCATTGGCACAAGCCGCTGGGTTTTCCCCAAGAAAGTGTCTCATCTCAGTTTAAAACGTACACCTTTCCAACAGCTTCTGTCCTACTTTGACTGTAATGAAACTGTCACCCGAAACTTCCAGTTTCGTGCTACCTATGGTATTTTTTGACTACTTTATCCTCTGTAGTTATCAAATGCTGTAGTTCAGCAGCTGAACATAGTCCTGACTCTGTTCAAGACTGGAAAAGCTTAAAATGTGCCAAATAAACGTACATAACTAGCATGGTAGTCCCACTGGGATTTTGTACTGTGCCATGGATTGAGTAGACCGTACTCAGCAATGCTTTCTTGTTGTAGGTTTTTTATGTTACACTGACTGTACATCTTTTCCTTCAGCCTATGTATGCACAGCCTTACTGTTGGAAGAGCTGGGAATGGTCCCTAAGCCTGGGGCTAAATGGCAAGACCTGGCTCACATCCACACTGCTTGGAGTTACATCCATCTACAACACAGAGGCCTTGTTTGCACTGTGCAGCCACACATCTGCTTTCAACTCATTGGTCCTAACACAGGTTTTATTTGTTTTCAAGTTTCTGATGATGAAGGCTGTGCTACTGTTGACCAAGGCAGCAGCTTGTATTTCATGAACATGAGCATATGTATCTCAGACCCCACGATGTAGCCCTGAGAACATCTGAGGGTACTTGAGCATTCAAAGCCTGATGAATCATGGAAAAATGTTGGTTGGAAGGACTGCTACAGATCTACTAGCCCAGCCATCTGCTCAAAGCATACCTAGCTCCAAGTTGGATCAGTACTGAAGGTCTTGCTCAGCCAAGCTGTGAGTATCTCCACATGAGATTTCAGAGACCTTTGTGGGAAATACATTTCCTGCGCTTAACCACCTTAATGGTGATTTTTTTTTTTTATTGGAATCCTAGCTCAAGTGGAGGGTTCACTAAATCCATACCGCTCTCCTGGGAGCTGTCTTTGGAGTGAACTATCATTGAAATAATACCCCTGGACAGTGTCATGAAAAGGATTAATTAAAAGCAGTTGCGAAACAGCCAGGGAGCAAGCTAGCAATTAGAGAGCTTGGATGATTACATGGCTGGTGGTGAAGCTCACTTCCTGGCCTGCCAGTATTCTAAATATTATGCATAGCTGCACATACTTTCCTGGAAGAGGCAGAGTTTATTATTGTTTTTCTACCTACTGTTTTTCTGACCCCTACTAGGTCTTTCAAAAAAGGCTGTGATCCTGGGATTTGGGAATGGATGCCTCAAAAGTCTGTCTCCTTTCTGCATGGGATCAATCACACAAGAGGAAAAGAAATGCCTTTAGAAGCTCCTGCTTAGACTAACAGTAGGGAGCGCTTCAGAAAGCCCAGTGGGTGTAGGTGTAGGGGGAAGAAACTGAGCCTAAAGCCTTTCTGCTGCTGCTGGTGCAAGTGCTGGGCTCTGTTCCATCATGCAGATAGCGAGCTGAGCTGCGTGCAGTTGGTTGCAGGGACAACATGAGAGTCAACTGCTGCCCTGCCTGGTGACCTGCCCCATTGAGCTGTCCCCACCAGGAACAACGCAGGGTGTGCCCCTTCTACAGGGATGGGTGAGAAACATCAGCCAGTGTCAAGGCACACTGGATCTTGTGTGCAAGAAGGCATTTTCCCGTGGCTCCCTATCAGCTGAACAGCAGTAATTTCCTCCAGTGAGCCAGCTGAGACAATTCCAGCATTCTCTGCACCAGCACCAAGACTTTCAGTACTCAGTTTGGCAGGCGCTCATAAACTGTTTGGTAACCCCAGCTGTAGACATACTATAGAGAAGTACAGAGAAAAAAAAAGAAATCTTTCTTGGGGAATTAAATCCAATGTCTAAATAAATCACTGTTAATAGAAGAAATAATAAAAAGGGATTATTCTTTCAGTCAGGGTGTTACATAGGTGCTGCTGGTTTCCTTAAAGGACCAAGCAGCTGTTTTCTTGTTTCTTTTTCCTGCAAAGATGGTAAAAACAGTGAGGATGTCAGTATTTTGTAGCTGTAGCAGGACTCACAAGGCTGTCAATGGGTTGCTTGATATTAAGACTTGAACAGTGTTTTAATGATGCTTTTTGAGACGCAGCCCAGTGGCCTCATTTTGACTGAAGTGTCTGAATTGACAGAAGAGTAATTCCAAGGAGCAGAACATGAGACTGCCTGCTTGGGACGGCATTGTGAGCCACCACCCCAGAACCAGCAAACTTAGAACTGCAACTTGCAAATTTCTTGTGCCTTGAGAGTTGTCAGTCTTATCGTCTTTTGATCCATTGTTCCCGGCTGCACTCCAGGATGGCAACAAAGAGCATAATCATGCTTTCACGGTGCCTGTAGTTTCTCACCACAGCTACTGAAGTATTTGGAAACTCATTTTCTAGAGCACTGGGTATCTTGTGTTTAACCACAAGGCAGAGTCTTAAGTCAGGAAACAACAAAACTCGGTTCCACACACACGAACGTTCTATGGCACAGCGGAAGACCCGTGCGCTAACGGAAGCTGGCCTAGACACAACTGAGGAACGACCTTACATCGAGGGGGGTACAATAATCAGGCTGTCCTCAGGCAATGCCTCACGCCGGGACAGGCCGCTTGGGGCCCTACAGCCTCGGGGAGACGACAGGAAAAGCCTCTGCCATGCCCTCAGCGGCACAACCGGGGCCGAAAGGAGACCTGCCCGTAACCGGGCCAGCTACAGGCTGGACCCGCCATCACCTCATCCCTCCTCACCCCGCCGGGGCGCATGCGCAGAGGGCGGCCTCCTACCCCCCCCCCCCCCCCCCCCCGAATCTCCGCCCCCTCCCCCGAGGCCGGGTCTCGCGCACTCTCCGGCTGCAGCGCGGCCCGCACGGTTGCGCGGGAACTTGCGTAACGCGCCGCGGCCTTCGCGTCGCTCCGGACGTCGTTTCCTCCTTCCCTTCCGAAGGCGCCGCGCGAAGGCCGGCGCGGCAGGCGCTCCGCAGGGAGAGAGGCCGGGCGCGGCCTTCCGCCGCCGCGGCGCCATGATGAGGCGCACGAAGCCCGAAGTGGAGCGGTACGTCGCCTCTGTGCAGGCCGCCGCGCCTTCCCCCCGAGAGGTGAGTGCTGCCGGCCGCGGTCCCAGGCGCGGGCCGCCAGTGGGCTTACCCGCGGCCTTGCCCGTCCCGTCCTGCCTGCGCCGGTCCCGGGGGCTCTTGCGGCTACCGGTGGCCTCCCGGCTCGGCGCAGCCGCGTGATGGGGCTTCTTGCATGGGGCGTCAGCGGTGGTCTCCCTTGCTTTCTTAGGGGCTACCGGGCGGGAGGCATCGCTGTTTCTACCTGGCCGGGGGAGGCGGCTGTTTTCTGTGTGTGCTGCCGCTCCCCGCACCGTATCTGGCGCTGGGGTGCTCGGGTTGGGTCTGTCCCGCTCTTCCTTAGAAGTGGCGGTAAGAGGAAAAAAAGGGGGTTGGGGTGTCTCTGGGAGTATTTCTGAGTCCGTATTTGTTCAGGGTTTCTTTAAGTGAAATGAGGTAGGGGAAGTTACGGTGAGGAAGGACGTGTAGTTTTGCTACTGGAGGTGTTTCCCCTAACCTGGAGCAGTTGGTTTACCAGAGCTGTGTGCCTGCCTTTTGCACCTGGTAAGCCTTACTGCAGTTTTAAAGAGCCCACCAGTTGTCTAAGTACATAATTCTTCAGTTGTATGAGTGTACTTGCTAAGTTTCCTGAGTTTCTGTGTTCTAGAGAAATAAAGACTCCAAACAGGGAACATACGAGATACTTTCAGTTTCCTTTTACGTGACTAATATTCTTATCTGCATTACTGCTTTGTGAAGTAACAGTATTAAGACAGGGAGAACTGGGAGGAAATACTTTTCCTACTGTACTTTAGTAACTTGAAAGAATGATGAGGAACTCTGCATGACTGGTTACTGTTTGCCATTATATCTGGAAAATGGTATACAGGTCACAGTGGTGCAATTCATGGGAGCTGTTTAATCGTGAAAGATCCTGTTCTGCTGCTCTGAATTGATTTTATTGCGGAAGTAGAATATTCAGCAGTGTGTTGTGTAGAGTGAATGCATCCATGTTCACCATGATGCAGTCGGGTCTTTATTCAGGGCCTGTGTAATGATCATCATCATCATTTATATCTATCCTAACAGCAACAAAGTTGTCCTGTGACTGTTTAATTGACTTGGGTGCTGTTTAGACCAAACAGCGTCAGGTACATCACTGCCAGAAATGGAATGCCCTTGAATTATTTTGGTATTTATATTGACATTGATAACAACAAAAATTCTCTCCTGCTGTGCTTAGGACCAACTGGTGCATATGTAAGATTTAGATTTTTAAAGTATTTTGATCTTTTTAAGTAATGCTTACAAATAACTGTATCAGCGCAATGTGTCACCTTTTGTTTATAGGGCGTGTATGTTCAAGTTACCTTAGCCTGACAACATCAGAAATAAAATGTATAAACATACTTCTTATCCAAACTGAGAACAACTTCTGTAGAAATTGCTTTTTCCTCAAGTATATTTAGACAGTAGTGTCTGATGGCAATATAATACAGTAGGGCTAAATGACAGGTCTCTCTTGGTTGGTAGGATTCTCTTTCTTTGCTACATTGCAAAAAAAAAGAGACTAAATGTAGCTGACACTCTTTTCTCTTTAATCAGAAGTGTTTATGAAATTCCACATGTGTGCGACTTGTTTGCTTTGCTCATAATCTCTATTTTGTGCAAAAGCTTTTGTCAGTTATAGGAAAAACTCTTAATCTTTAAATTCTTAATCCTACA